GGTAGGGGGTTACGAAGTGTGTCCGGGGGTGGATTGGGGAGGGGGAGTGGCGGTCTTATGTTTGTTTCTGAATGTAATACATAAAACGCATATCGCGGAGGGTCTTCTTGTTACTAAATCATCAATCTGTTGGTCTTCTTTTTTTTTTTCCCCAGATTGCACTAATTTGCAAAGACGAAGCAGCACAGGTGGAGGTAATGCTGACGAACCAACAGAGCAACAAACCGGGGGGTTTACAAAGAAAATGAAAGACAAACTGTTTTGTTCAGTGGCGAAGGCCTTTGCTTTTTCAACAGCAAAGGATGAGACGTTATACCCATCGGAGGACAATTTTTTCACGACACTGCAAACAACTGCCAAATTGATAGGAGAACATGCGAAGGAAGGACTACGGTTGCACGTGGCAGCGAACGAAATTTGAGTTGTGATCGGGGAATGCAATCGGATTATGACAACGGTCCGAGGCGAGATATCATGGCAATTGAAGCATTGGTTTTGGGCCGAAAAAGGTCTGCCGCTGGTCCGGTCAGCTCAAACGGATCACCAGCTTCCGACTCGCAACAGGATGCGGGCAGAGATGAAGGGGAACACAACATGGAGAAGGAGCGACAATGATCCGTGGGGCGCTCCTCCTTTCAAGGCAACACTGACAAAAGTTTTTCAAATGAGAAGAGATGGCATCAACCTTGACGTAATGTTGCAGCAACTAGCATTTGCGGAGCTGGTACTGAAAATTGAAGTCGAGCAGACGGCAAAGACCAGTAAAGCAGCGGATCAAATACAGAAACTAGCAGCTATCAAGAAAGAGATCGCTGCATCGGTCCGCTCCCGAGACACAGTCTTAAGCTTTTCTATCTTCAAGCTCGACCGTGTTGTTTCTGTTGCAGACAAGACCGTCGCATTGTACAGAGCTGGGTTGCCTTCTATGCAGAGGGGAGACGACAATAACATGACTACAAGAGATGATGATTTTGACCTTGAGTTCATTGCGCACACTGTGGACAAATGTGCGGGCAGAGAGAGAGACGAAGAAAGTTTGGGCGCAAGGCCGTGAAAAGGAGAAGAAGGGGTCCGGAAGTGGATCGAGGGGGGTTGGGGATGGAACAATGTCAGGGTGTGGAGGGAGGTGGGCAATGGTGTTAGAGGGTACATGAGTTGCACCTCCACTGACAGTCAGTGGCATGACACACAACCAATGAGGACCAAA